ACCCAATTTACACTATTTAATAAATTGAACAAATTGGAATGTATCTAACCATCTGTATTAACCTCATTCAACATGACATCATCATACATCAGAGTACCTGCTTAACAATTTACAATTTAAACAAAATATAGGCCTGTTAAGCAATTTTTGATAAACTAAATCGTTAACAACAAGTTACACCATTAAATTCTACTACAATATTTACATCTTAAATAAAAGACGTTTCATTATTCATTTCCCCATTCCCAATCAAGATTCTAGACCTGGCAGTAGCAACCCAACCTGATACCTGAAAAATGTTGATATGGAAGGAATGAGCTTAAAGCCCAGTGAATGCAACACTACTATATCAGAGTAATATAAACAAATATTATCTGATAACTTCAATTAAACTTCATTAATATATTACAGGCATTAAAGTATAGTACTCTCCTTCTAGGCCAGAGTATGAACCTTATTTAAGTATAATACTCTCTTTCTTGGCCAGAGTATAGACCTTATTTAATGTAATACTCTCTTTCCAGGCCAGAGTATGGACCTTATATAATATATTACTCTCCTTCCAGGCCAGAGTATGGACCTTATATAATATAATCAAATTATATATATTAATCTGCAATTCACATAAACAGCTTCACTACCTCAATTTAATCACATCCAAGTATAAACTTCCAGTGAGTACACTCACCTTGGCAATTTTTCAGTTTATTTATTTGTCCTGCAGTCCTGTTGATGTCGTCTTTTTCGTCTCCTTGCCGGAACAACATTATAATCATGTTATATTTATTTCTACATAAAATTAAATACTACGTATCCCCTCCAAAATAAATCTTAAATCCTCCATAATTGTAGTCACAATTTTCTAATCGTAATAATTAGATTAAATCTCACCCAATGGACTTGAATCCCACTATAATTGTATTAATTCACACAAGACCACAATTGGGGAAATTAATTAAGAGTAGAATAAATAAAATATTACTGAAATTTAAATAAATAACTTCCATTATAGAACCAAAAATACCAATTTTCTTACCTCACTACTTCCGTACAACAACCCACCAGCCTTATTCTTTTCCTTTCTCCCTTTTCTCTCTTCCTTTATCGGGGTATTACAGGGCTGTCCAAATAAGAAAGTCAATTAATTTATGAGGCATATAAATACATAATTATGTAATGATTTTTATTGGTTTAATGTATTTTATATAATTATTAGGTTCAAATAGAATTACACTAAATGATAATGAATGATATATTTAAAATCAACAATATTTAAAAAATAATAAGAAGAATAAGAAGATGAAATCAATTATAAAATGGCAAAAGAACATTGTCACACCATACTTTTAACCACTAAACATATTTATGTGAACTTCTAACGCTGATTTAATTGTAATCATTGAGTGTATACACCACAATTATACATAAATCCCTAAACTAAAATTAGTTTGCATCAAATTAGAAAGTCCATCATATTTTGTTGTTTAATTTTTTATTATAAATTTATTAAACTTTTACTATTATTTTTCAAGTGGTTTGAGTTGATTTAGAAAGTCCATATCCTATTTTGTTACATGTATAATTTTAATTACAAATTTATTAAAAAATTTATTATTATTATTTTTAAAAATATGCTTGTGAGAAGTTAATTAAAATGATAAAATATCACAAACTTATCACCCGACTTAATTGCATGTAGTAGTTTAATTTATTCTCACTATCTCACTAATTATACTCACTACCTCAATTATAGCTTTTGAATCCCATGAACTGAACACATTTTATAGGAAGTGGTTTGGTATTTTGTTTTGTCCTTTAACTTGAATTAAAATTTTATTATTATTATTTTTAAAATTGTTAGTCACGAGGAGTTGAACTCATCTAATTATTAAAAATGGTTTGAGTTGTATTTTGCTATTTAACTCTAATTACAAATTTATTAAAATATTATTATTATATTAAAAAATATGTTAGTCATGGGAGTTGAACACATTTAATTAATGAAAGTGGGTTGAGCTGTATTATATTGTTTAACTATAATTGCAAATTTATTAAAAGATTATTATTATTTTTAAAATTATGTTAGTAATGGGGATTTGAACTCATATAATTAATGAAAGTGATTTGTGTTGTATTTTGTGTCTTAACTTTAACAACAAATTTATTAAAAGAAATTTATTATTATTTTAAAAATATGTTAGTAATGAGTAGATAATTAAAACGACAAAATAATGTAACTATTGAATATTCACATTAACTGATTGACACAAACATATGAATACATTTAATAAAAATGATTATTTTTTAATTAACAAGAAACACAACTCAGGCAAACGATTTGGTCCACACTCGGATTAGATGCGACGTCGTGTAGTGGTTTGACCGTTTGAGTCAAATTAAGTTTTTAAAAAAAAAAAATTTAATTATAAATTTATTAAATTATTATTATTATGTTGGAAAATATGTTAGTGACTTGGCACGTGCACTGAGTCATGCATGGGGACGAGGCACGCTATGAGAGGGGTTTGGTGCTGACGCTGGAGCCTGTTAGCTAGGAGTTACAACTGCTCCACACAGCCAGCATTTTCTTTGTGGACAAACACTTGTATGAATTTTGTGGTTCATCATCATCTCAACGACTCCTCAACTTATGACGTGGCGTTCTTGTCTATGATCATCAATTCTTAATATATATATTTTAACCTTTATTAATTTTAGCTTGTACACTATAAAGAGCTTTTTCTATTATTTTCTACTGTACTTTGTTTTCAGTAATAGAAAACAAACACGGACAGCTAATCTACCTTCCAAGGTGAGATAAATATGAATAGTAATAAATAAATATAAATATTAGTGGAGTGCGAAATTTGACTAAGAGCCGAGTTTTTAAAAATTATTATTAAATTAAATTAGACATTGTCCATGTATTTCGGGTATAACCCGTTATTTTTTCTCTCATCTCTTCAAAAATCTGCAGCAATTACAAACCCACGGCAGCACTAATTACAAATCCACTTGCCCAAACATCATCGCCCCCTTCCTCGTTGCCACCACCGCCGGTATCCGATGTTTGCAAATCACCAGCTCTACAGTGGCTACGTCGCTTTCGGTGGAGGAGTAAGTGGCACGGGAAGCAACGTGCTAAGGAGATCTCGCCCATTGTTGTCCTCGTCTGCTCTCTGCCACTGCTCAGTTAGTCACTGCAGTAGTTCCACCATCTTCCTCGCAGTCGTCGATCTCCATCATGTGCCAAAGAGCCACCAACCTTACCGTTCACCGCTGTCTCCTCATGTGCCACTGCGCGTAGATCTAACGCGCTTCTCACGCGCACATGCGTCACTTTCTTCTTCACTGCTCTCTTCCGCACTTGCTGCACTTGTTCTCGGTTGCATCTGTTCTCGGTTTGCAGCGGTGGAAAGTTGGGGGAGCGGTGGAGAGAGAGTGTGTAGTCGGTGATGGAGAGGGATTGGGTGGGGCGGAGGGGAGGGGCTACAGATCAGATAGAGAGGGGGGAAGGGTTGCAGATCAGAGGAGGAAGAAGAAGGCGTAGCTTAGATGAGAAGGAAAAGAAAAAAAAGATAAAAAAAAATAAAAAAGGTAAAAAGAAGGGGTATACCCGAAATACATAGGCAATGCTCAATTTAATTTAATAATAATTTTTGGACACATGTCACAATATGATTGGGCCACGTATCCAGGTTGGACAAACTTCATCCAACCTGGGTTGGATGCAAGTATTGTCCTTTCACATATTAGTGCATTAACAGTTTTTAGTTACGAACATAAATGATTTAAGCGCTTCAACAAATCCCTATTAATTTATCTGAGAGGATGCTTGTGATGACCCTGTGAGCGGGTGTGCACTGACGAGTTACGGATACACAATCCCATATCTTCTGTGAAAGGGAAAGGAAAAGGTGAAGTGCTTATATATAGGTGTGTCACTCCAATTGGTATGAGGCCTTTTGTGGTAAAGTTTAAGAGCAAAACCGTGCGGGCTCAGGCCCAAAGCGGACAATATCATACAATGTGGTAGAGTGAGTCATTACAAATGGTATCAGAGCCTAACCCAGCCGGAAGTGTGCCGACGGGGACGTTGGGCCTCTAAGAAGGGTGGATTGTGATGACCATGTGGGCAGGTGTGTCGTGGGCTAGTACGAAACACTGACAGGCTACTACACTGGCAAGTTACAAGTGCACAATCTTACATCGTCTGGAAAATGAAAAGGTAAAGTGTTTATATGTAGGTGTGTCATTCCAATTGGTATGAGGTCTTTTGAGGTAAAACGCATGAGAAAAATTATGCTGATTCATGTCCAAAGCGGATAATATCATACCATGTGATGGAGTGAGTTGTTACAATGCTAGTCCCTATTTACCAATCCTTACTCACGATCATGAGTCGAATTTGTTGACTGAATTATTTTTCACAAATCCCATTACTAATGTCATCGTACTAACATTAGTCCTTAATTACGTAAAATCAATTAAATTTATTCTTACTCATATAAAATCAATCAACTTATGTATACTTAACATAAGTTGTTATTCACATAAAATCAATCCAATTTATCATTACACGCATAAAATCAATTAATCTATCCTTATGCACATAAAATTAATTAAACAAAATGTTATCCTTACTCAAATAAAATCAATTGAATTTTTCGTACTGAAATCTTTATCTGTGCTCTATATATAATCATGTATTAGCTTAATTAATTCTAATTATTAAAAATTTACTCTTTGATTTGTAGTGACAGGCACTTAAACAATCAAATGTTCTGGGAAAATCGAGCCCCAAGTTTGCCATATCAATGTATTAAATTTGCTACTTATAATTTCTATATACTCCATAAAAATGCATCAACTTAATTCGGATTGGTCTAATTATATCACTTGCACAATCTTTTTTTGTATTTTCCCTGGCAAATTAATAACAAACACACTCTTTAACAAGCATTCCACCAACTAGGTTTGTGCCCGCTTACACAACGGTGTGTTAAGAAAATGAAGCTACATATATATATTTTTGAGTTTAATTAGACACTAATTCATTCCACAAAACCATATCATCAGCCTTGCGAAAATTAAATTAGGTTCTACATGGTTACATCACATTCCTCAAAAGGCACATATAAAAAACGTAAACACCAAAAAAAGCACGAAACTTAAATACGTACACACCATCACTAAATTATTACTCAATTCACTTTGGAACATCTTCATCCATGGTCTTCTTCACATAATCATCAACAGCCTCAGACTTACCAACCACCGTCTCTTTGACCTTCTGTGTAGTCTCCTTCGCCACATCCCACGCCCCCTGCACCGTCTGATTCGCTTTCTCGCCTATATTCTGTGCCGTCTCCGCCGCCTTACTCGTCCCTTCCTTCAACTTCTCGGCCGCTGACCCCGCCGCCTCTTCAGTTCTCTCTTCTGCGTACTGCGCTGTCTCGGCCGCTCTGTGGGTGCCTTCTTTGACCTTCTCGGTTGCTGTCCCGGCTGCGCCCTTTGTCTTCTCCTGCATGTCCTGTGCTTGTTCTTTGGCTTTCTCCTTTGTGTCGTCTGCCATTTCAGCTGCTCTGCTCGCTTTTTCGTTCACTATCTCATTCGCTTCTGTAGCTTGTTCTTGAGTTTTCTCGGTGCTTTTTTTCAGATTGTCTTTGGCTTTCTCGGTCGTCTCAGAAGCGATGTCCCCGACATATTTAGCACTCTCACTGACTTTATTCCCCGCGTCATAACGTAGTTCCTCAACTCTTTGTGCTGCATTTGGTTCCTGAAATATGAATACTATTAACCCTGGTTTGTTTGGTTTGTTTGGAGATAAAATATTTTTTTAGAAAATATATATATATATTTTATTTTTTTAGTATTTAATTATAATAAAATATTTACTAAGAAAAAAATTATTAAAATTTAATAAAAATAATTTATTCATTAATTTTCAACAACTTATTTTACATGTCTAAGTTAATAATCTTGATTTCAATCTCGTCAAAAACTTTTGTCAAATACAAACGGAGTAAAATAAAAAAATATTTTACTTAAAAAAAATATATATATTTTTGGTCGAAACAAACGGAACATTAATTCAGAATAAGAAAAAACATGTTGCAGAGCAATAAACCAGCATTTTGAAATTGAAATTATACTAAATTTATAGTGATAACTCTTAACTAAATTTATTTCAATTTCAATATAAAAAAAAGCCTGTTCAGTACTCTAAACATGGTCTAAAACTATATTCGATAGTATGAAATTTGTAAAGTTATAACATTAATTAACTATATTTTTTTTTAACAATTTCAATTTGAAGCACCAATTCTATGCCACCCAAATTTGATTAAAAAAGTAAAAAATCATCAAATAAATATACATAAATTGTCACATACATATGTCATGCCTAGACCCAAACATGCACATGTATGTTAACATATTAATTCATGCATATATGTACAAACACACAAGTGTTTTAGCGAGGAAGCAGAAGGCTGTAAATTTTACCTGAGAGGATTTGGAGGCGTAAGTGAAGCAAACCCGAGAGGCTTTGCGATGGAGGGGCAGAGAAGAGGATTGAGGGAAAGCTTTTGAGAGGTTGAAAATGCCGTTATTAGAAAAAACTGAGGCCATGGTTACTCTGCTGCTGCTGCTTTTTTTTTCTTCCTGTGCTCTCTTGTTTCTTGGGGTCTCTGGAATTTCTAACACTAACGGTTGATTATTTAACATGTAAGAGGCGAAGAAGATGGCACCCTGGTAGCGTGACACGTAGGGTTACTGTCGGCACGGGTAAGATTTAATGTTTTGCTGGCTCGCGGGGTGCATTTTTGAGTCAATACATGTGTTCTTTCTAGTTTTCAAAAAGGATAAACATAACCTTATGTCTGTGGACGTGACTAGGCCGCGTCACCAAAGATTCAAATTAGTCTGAGTCATTGGCGGGTCAACTTCAAAGAAAATAAGCAAAATGACAAAGTGGCCAACACTTGGTCGATACGAGAGCCCCAGCAAAAGCAAACAGTAGGTCGATGAACCCAGTGCGGGACCTACCTAGTCGGTCGATGACATTTGAACTTAGACTTGTAGTTTTGAACGAGTCATGAATTGTCGATCAATAAGCGTTAAATTTCGATTCGGTCAAGTCACCTACAGTCGATCTGTGAGACTTGAGCCTTTATTCGACCGTATCATGAACTATTGATTAATGAGTTTTAAATCTCGAACCAACTAAACTATGAATTGTCGATCGATAAGACTAGAACTTCTATCCGATTGAATCATAAATTATCGATCGATAAGCCTTGAAATATCACTCCAGGCCCATACTAAAAATTCAACTCTTAAATTTTATTCAATCAGAATTGATAAAAAAAGAAAAAAAAAAAAAAAGATTTGTTTGACCGGTGTACAATTTATTCTAAATTATGTTTTATTATATATGTTTATACTCTTTTTATTTTTTTTTTATTTTTCTTTTTTTACAACCCATTATATGTATATACTAACACATCAAAATGTGAGGTGATATTCACTTCACTACGGTGTTCTTGCATTTAATTCGATATTCACATTTCACAAATTATACTCTCCATAAAAGTGGCCGGTAAAAAAGTTGAGAGTTGCATAAAATGGATATAAGACTGAGGTTGAAGTATAAGTGTATTATTTTCCATTTTAAAAACAAAATAAATAGATTTGAGCAATAATATGATATGTTTTTTTTCAAGAAGAGAGAAATTATATATGGTTCAATGAGATCGCCTGGATGGGAGCGTCCGACCTATCATCATTGTTGAATTTTGGGTTTGTCCTTCATTGTCGAGTCGTTCTTTTGCTCTAATAATGAGGTACGCTTTCATTGCACAATTATCTGTTTGGCTCACAAAGTGGTCTGAGGTCGCTAGCCAATGAACGGCTGACCTAGAACGCGGGGCGTGCCAGAGTTCTGATGGATTCGAATATTTCTTGCCAAACTATTCCTATCGGGTCGGGTCACCGACCTAAGATGATTCAGGCGAAAGTTGGAGAGTAGGAATGACCCTCTCCTTAAAGTTGCTATTGCCTTTAAGAAAGGACTTTAAACACTCAAGATAAACATGAATTAGAAGCAACTTAACTGGACAATAAATATACCTGAATCTGCAAACCTTTCTTCATTGAACTTGACTGATTACAATGATGAATGAATTATAAACTCTTGATTGAGATGGAAACTAAAGTATTAAATGCTGGAAGATGAACTAAGTACTAAACTGATAATGTTAAGCTAAACTTGCTGAAATAAAAGCTAAGTGCTAAACTGAGCTTGATGAAATAAAAGCTAAGTGCTAAATGATAGGAAAGCTAAAGGTTGAACTTTAGAAATGGTCTTGGACCCTTTCCTTGTGATGCTTGAGTGGGTATTTATAGAGGCTTCCACCTGGTGTTGTCCTTTTCAACCGTTTCTCTAGAAATTGATTGGTTGTAAGCTGAAAGTGACTTTTCCTAACCACTAGCTGGAAAGGTTGACTAACTTGCACATCCCTCTATAGGCAGATACAAGTATGTCTGACATAGTATTTTTGACTAAATGGTGCCTATTCTTTCATGCTTGATGATTTTGGTCTTCAAGCCATTTTCAGCTCTTTGCACCTGTCATGTCTGGCTTGATTTGTACATTAGCCTGGAGTCATCTGATTACTGACAATCCTGACTTTCCTCATCAGATGTTGGTGAGAACCTTCCATCTGTAGTTCTGAACTTCTGACATTGTCAAGTTGTCCTTTTCCATTTCAAGCTTTCCTCAAACTTCTAGACCTGACTTGTTGGGTTCTTGAAACATTGGGATTCACAATCGGTCTTTATTTGAATTACTCCAAAGATTCCTTAAGTGATTATGACCCGAGACCCCTGATCATGACCATATTTGGTCATAAGTCTTGATCATGGCCATAGTGACTATAAATCTTGGTTAAGATTCATAATCATGACCATTATGACTGAGGGTCTCCTGACCATGACCATTGTGATTGAGAAAGTTGTGACTGAGAGTATTTTGGCCTAAAACTTATGATCATGACCATTGAGACTGGGAGTCATAACCATATTGATCGAGAAGGGTTTTGGCCTAAAACTCATGACCATGACCATAGTGACTGAGAAGGTTTTGGCCTAAGACTCATGATCATGATGACTGAGACTCTCATGACCAGGATGACTGAGAAGGTTTTGGCCTAAGACTCATGATTATGATGACTGAGACTCTCATGACCAGGATGACTGAGAAGGTTTTGGCCTAAGACTCATGATCATGACCATTGAGACTGGGAGTCATAGCCATAGTGACTGAGAAGATTTTGGCCTAAAACTCATGATCATGATGACTGAGACTCTCATGACCAGGATAACTGAGAAGGTTTTGGCCTAAGACTCAATGATCATAACCATTGAGACTGGGAGTCATAACCATAGTGACTGAGACTCTCAATCATGGCCGGTTATGAGCTCAAAACCTCATATCAGTCTTAATGGCCTAAAAATTCCACTCTTCTTCATTCTCAGCCTTAAATCGGATCGCCATGATTAGAAATTAATTTCTCGCCCTGATGACCATGGGTCGACCCAAAGTTCAGACTTCATGATTTCTGACCACGTGGCATGATTGCTTCGAATTATATTTTAGGTGTTAACAACTGCCCCCCAACTCTATGGAAATGGGTTCATACCAAATTTTCGTAGAGTTGTATTTATTTTGGCCAGTTTTTATGTTCAGCCTGGGACCAGTCAAGGCCAATTTTTTGCCTTCAATGTATGGATAACCAAAACCATTTATTAACTGGAAGAGAACTGTGTATCATCTCTTTGCCATGGCCATTTGTACCTTGGCCATTTTGAAGCTTCCAACTTGCTCAAGCTTCAAAAGAAACAAACACACCGAAACAGAACATAACAGCAGCTAAAGAACATTCTTAGAGAGAGAACTAAGGGAAACCATTCAAAACAAATAGCACCATAAAATCACATGATGTTGCAGTGTTGCACCTTTTAACAGCCCCCAATCCCTAATGAAATTAAAATCTGATACATACATATGTATACGTATATGTATACATATATACATATATATATATATACCAGGTTCCATGTGTATCACACCAAGAGTTGTTACACCCTTTTCCGATTTGACCATGGATTCCAGGTTTATTTCATAGTGCTGGAGATGGTGTTCCCACCTTTGTCCATCATTCATACCCAATAGTTTTGGGTTTCGGGTGGGCTTCAAAACTGACTCATGTGAGTGTCGGGACCTCGTCAAGCCCAAGCAACAACGAACACACACACACATATATATGTATATATATGACGGCTGTGAGCTTCTGCAAACTGCATGGTAGACTCTACCAGCGATGGGCCTGTGATTTACGAACCTTCGTATCGCAAAGCGCTGCAATGAGTTTGCCCAGGAACTGCGTCGGCCGTAGAGAGATTGTCGCATCGATTATCTTCTTCATGAAGTCATCGCTGCCGAACCTATCACCGTGGATAGATTTGCCACCGGAGAAAAAACATGCAGGTCTCTATGCAAGCACAACGTTGTCACCCTCACCGTCATCGCCCATCTTCTGTTACAATAACTACAGCAGCCACCTTTGTTGTCATCAAACCTGCAAATGGCGATAATCACGTACAAACCATTTCCAAAGTTCCTGTCTGGCTCCTCGCTGTTTTGGGTTTCAGTGAGCTTCAACCCGTTTGCTTAACCGAATCTGCTATGGACCAAGAATCTTGATCACGAAGGTTCATATATATATATATATATATATATACATATTTATATGTGTGTATATATATACATTTAACAACTGCGAGCTTCTGCAAACTGCATGATAAATTCCAACGGTGATGGGTCTGTTTACACAATAACTTGCCATCGTTGTGATACCCCTTGGATCTGAGACACGGGTTGATCAGGCCAGGCTCAAACCCGAGGGAATATCAAACAATTAATATTTTATAATGAACACGGAATACAAAATAAATTAAGAAATGAAATTAAAGCTGGAAGGAACTAAAAATAGAATCCGCAAAATATTATAATTATTAAAATCCATCAAACCCAAACTCCAAAACTCTATCAGTTTACAACTTGGGAATCCATCTCTAGTGGACCCCTATTAAACATCCAAACGGAAAATAGAACAACTATAATAAACGTCCAGATATAACACTATAGAGAGAGTCCTCCATCGTCGGAAGAGTGAATAGAGACCTCTGCTCAGCACGAACACATCTAAGCCTGAAACTGTCGTGTACCTGAAAAATAGAAGTTGGTCAGGCCCCCGCGCAAGTTCTATACTACTACAATCCAAACAGAGGCCCGATACGCATATACATCCTAAACACTTCAACAATAGCTAATAGTCCGTAAATATATATATAGTCACACTAAAGGACTCTCACTGGACTACAGGCCGGTCTCAACCTGAATAGAGGTAACATGCTAAAACGCACACGAAGTGGGCATATGTACCTATACCTAAACAGGGTACACCTCCAACCATCGTAGCCAGCTACACATCCCGATGCATATACGCTCCCTAGCCATCGGTCCTGAGGCTCAAGCTCATACCGAGGCATCATAACAGTACATATATAAAATCCATCCAAAATCCCTGGTATTGCCGCTCAACAAGTAGTTGCCATGACAATACAAATCCACGGGACTTAACTTTTAGTTAATCCCATTCTTATTCCAAGTAGGTGGGTAATGGTATT